TGCGGCCGCTGAACGCATGTTCGCTCCCGGGAGACTCCGGCGTCTGTGACCTTTTCGAGTCCCCCAGCTCTAGCTCGGACGGCGCGGACAGCCCTGCGGCGTCTGCGGCGCGGGACTGCAGCTCTTTACTCAGTCCTGCCCCGCCCTTGACCGCGCTAGATCTCCAGACCTTCCGAGACTACGGCCAGAGCTGCTACGATTTCCGCAAAGCGCAGGAGAGCCTTTTCCATCCCCGGGAGTCGCTGGCGCGACAGCCACAAGTGAGGCGGTTGACAGAGCCAGGCCCCGGCCATCGAGCTTTTGCCTCTAGCAGGCTCACGTCTCCTTTGCTGCTATCTGCCAGTCGCAGCACCCTAGTCCTTGCAGCCCATTATTCTGCCATCAGTAGGAGCAAAAGGGATCTTTGAGGATTGGGCCACTGACCTCACTCTATAGATGGAGAAAAGTGGGTTGTGGATAGCTGAAGTCTGTACTTTAGTTGGGGGAGGGTAGAGGAGTTTAATTATTAGAGTTCAGAGGAGTCGGACAGTTTCTAGGTTAGAGCCCGAACTCCTAAATGTATTTGCACATCTGCAAATGGACCTTTCCCCCGCCTCTGACGCAGTACCTCGTACAGTACCTAGCGCGAGCCCAGGCGTTCTGGGACTCCTAGACTCAGCCAGGCCCGCACTCCCATGTGTTTCCCGTTTTTCCAATGCATCTATCCTTTTCCACTCTACCTCTCTTGGGGGAAGCTCCCTGGATTATCTTGGCTCCTTGCTGCAGCACACTTCCCCTCTCCCTCCTGGCAGGTGACAGCAGAATCCCGCTGTAAGCTGCTCAGCTGGCTCCTACCAGTCCACCGCCAATTCGGCCTCTCATTCGAGTCGCTGTGCCTGACTGTGAACACTCTGGACCGCTTCCTCCTTACCACCCCAGTAGCCGCAGACTGCTTCCAGCTGCTCGGGGTCACCTGTCTGCTCATCGCTTGCAAGCAGGTACAGGTATAGGGCGGGATGTGTTTGGAGCCAACCTCCTTCAGTCGCGCCTGGTTCAGGGTTGGGTGGCTGGCCTCATCTAGATAGATGCTCGCGGATCTTTATACACAAAGCCTTAGAGAGCTTCGTATATTTTTACGCAGAGTCACTAATACTTTCAGACCACAAAGGGATAGGCTGTAACCAGCCTCCCACCCAAAGCTTCTAAGTCCTTGTGAAACATGCTTTTAAAATCTCTCTCGAGCGCCGGGGCAGTACACACGCCTTTAAAAGCCCAGCACTTGGGAAGGCAGGGGCAGGTGGATCTCTTGAGTTCAAGGCCAGCGTGGTATACAGACCTAGTTTAGGACAGCCAAGGCTATACAAAGAAACCCTGTCTTGAAAAACAAAACAAAACGAAACAAAACAAAACAAAAAGCCAGGCGGTGGTGGCGCACGCCTTTAATCCCAGCACTTGGGAGGCAATGGCAGGCAGATCTCCGTGAGTTTGAGACCAGCCTGGTCTACAGACCGAGTTCTAGGACAGCCTCCAAAGCCACAGAGAAACCCTATCTCGACCGCCCCCCCCCAGAAAAAAACAACCAAAAAAACAACCACCTCTCTCACACAAACACTTGCACACGTGTTACACACACACACACACACACACACACACACACACACACTTTTTTAAAGTTGGGCTGTAGATAGAGATGCTGTACCGAAAGCAGCCTTGTGTGGTTTAACGGTGGAATCGTGGGAAGGTGTGAGGCTAGCTGGAAGGGATGTATTGTTCAAGTTTCAGGTTTTCTCCCTGACTTAAGGCTGGGCGAGCTCTGGGCCCACGAAACGTCCAAATCGGAACTAGAGTGCACTCTGTTGCAGGTAGAGGTGCACCCACCTCGCGTGAAACAGCTCCTGGCCCTGTGCGGTGGTGCTTTCTCCCGGCAGCAGCTGTGCAACCTCGAGTGCATCGTGTTACACAAGCTACACTTCAGCTTGGGTGCACCCACCATCAACTTTTTCCTGGAGCACTTCACTCACGCTCGAGTGGAGGCGGGACAGGCTGAGGTCATTGGAGCCTTAGAGGCTCAAACCCTGGCTCGGGGAGTGGCGGAGCTGAGCCTGGCCGATTATGCTTTCACCAACTACACACCTTCCCTCTTGGCCATCTGCTGCCTGGCGCTGGCTGATCGCATGCTGCAGCTCCCTCATCCGCTGGACCTTCACCTGGGAGAGCACCCGGAGGCTGCACTGCAAGACTGCCTGGGCAAGCTGCAGCTGCTCGTGTCCATCAATAGTACCTCTCTGATGCACATGCTGCCTCCCCAGATTTGGGAGAAGTGCAGCCTGCCCCAGAGTTGGAAATAAAAAGCACACCCTTGAGTTTCTTTTATTCCCTGGCCCTGGCTCTGTGCCTTCAGGAGAGTGTGCAGTATTAATCCAAAGAGAAGCTCAGGACTCCCGCTTGTAAATAGTGTACAATAATGGAATCTATTTATTTTGCAGTACACAAAGGGCAGGCGACAGTCCTGGCTTGTCAGGATGCTGCTGCTGTTAGGTCTGCCCTTCACAGGTGACGTCAAGAAAGAGGTTGCCGATTTCAGAGTCTGTCCTTGGCTCCCAACATTTTTTTTTTTTTTTTTACTCTGTAGTTAGCAGCTCTGTGAAAAAAAATCCAGCAAGATTTTATATGTCACTGCTCCAGTAATCAGACAAGTCAAGGTTGCTTGTCTGTATCTTAACCCCCTCCAGTCTGAAGGCTGAGCCCCCTCCTCCATGCCAGTGGCCCAAGGAGTATGAGACAGAAGTCATTGTAGTCTGTGTTGTGCAGATGGGCAGTGCCTGCAACTCACTGATCTGGGAAGCTTTGGGGACCATGTAGGCATGCTAGTAGTGGACAAAGCAAGAGACAGTCCCTGGTGCACCCCAAGAGATGTTGGAAAGTAAAGTTTTTGCATACTCTTAACAGCTGTTGTAACCTGGGCCATTTCCCCTGAAGTTACATGCATGGTTCAGTTCACACTGCTGTACAAGCCCAGGGTAACAATGGCATGATAGTAATAAAAATATATTGACTACTTGCAATGTATCCTGTGTATGTTTAACATTTATTTCACTCAACAATGCTATTAGTAGTCTTTTCTCACTTCCCAGACATTGGAACACAGGACTCTAGAGGCAATGTGATCCATGAGTCTTACCCTGAGCCACATTGTTAAGCTTCTCCTGTTTATGCTTTTGGAAATTCTTCTAAAGCCCTCTTTCTGTGGTAGGTACGTACCTCATTCTCTATTTAGTCCTCCTGTACTCAGCAAGGCAGCACTCTGTTTTGTCTTTGCTTCTGGCCTTGCTACAGGACTCAATTTATAGATAGGAGACTTGGGTGGGAAATGGGAGGCTTCCTGAACTGTTGTGGCTCAGTCATTGTCACATTCTCTTCAGACACACTGTCATTTGTCAGCTGTAGGCCCTGTCCCTCTGCTCCACCTGCAGCAAATTCTTCAACTTCCTTGAACGTTACAGTGGACCTGGGGGTTAAGCTTAAATGAGATCGTTTCTGGGGTGGGGGTGGGGGAGAATGAGTAGCTGTGGAGCCAAGTTGCTAGGAGACCTTAGGCCCACTTCTCTAAAAATGGGATAAGTGCACCCATCCTTAGGACTGCAGTGTGAAATGATCATATACCTTCACTCCCAGCACAGAACCCCCAAGAAACAATAGTGATAGTCTGCACTCTGCTGGGAGAAATTATGCAGGAACCAAAAAATGAATTAGGGTGAACATACGGTTTGTTGTGTGGCAGTTTTTTTTTTTTTTTCCTCTCAAAATGTGTTTTTTTTTCTTTTTTTGTATGATTGAAAACTTAGGTTTTGGGTAAGAAACCCCAGTTTGTGCCTCTGCATTTAGAATATGTTAATGTATGATGAGTAAAATGCAAACTCCACAATTTAGAGCCTTTGCATTCCTTCACCACAGCCCTCAGGAAGCTGGATCCCTCCTTTATGTTGATATGCTAAACTGGCTAGAGCTTTCTCCTTCAGAGCAGAACAGCTGTTATTTGATGGTGCAAGAGGGGGGTGAGGACCCAGTCACCTGTTTAACTCTTAACCATCTGGGGCCTTTAGTTGAGGTGACAAGGAGACCCTTGAGGTCTGGCTCTCATGGAAAGCAGTGACTTTGGGGGTTGTTAGCTTCACTATGGTGTCTAACAGTCCAATCCCCTCTGATATTTCCATGTTGTCTCCTAAATTCTCCAGAACTAGGGAACAGAGCCAGGAACAGGTGATGGGAAGCTGGAAGTTTAGTTGAAAAGGCTACTTTAGAAAAAGAAAAGACAAAACCCTAATTTATCTAAGCATTAGCCACTGGGCATACATAAAACCAACTCCTCTTCCCAACTCTGCTGAGGCGGGAGTCTGTTTTTCTTAAAGGCATATCTGATCTTGTGGGGTCTAATCCCATCCTTGTGCATTCTCACCTGAAGCCAATGCTTCCTCTCCACCCCAACACCCCCACCATCTCAGATGTACACCTCCTGTAAATACAGTTTTCTAACAGTTTACTCACTTATCCACCACTGTTGGGCACATCTTGATTCTTAATTCAGCTAATGGATGCAAATGGAAGGTAGAAAGGTATGCACATTCCTATTTCTGATGCTTGTTTACATTGAACTGATCTGGGTGGTCCTGGAAAAGGTCCCCTCACTCAAAGGTGCCCATTCTGAGACATGTCTCTTTCCAGTAAACTCAAATTCTGGAAGATGCTTCTTTCAGGGAGAGGGCTGACTTGAAGAGATCTGTGAAACTTCAGGGGGGAGGCCAGCTGTAAAGAGGACAGCCAAATGCTAGGACAGCTAGCTAAGGCCACCAGGGTTTTAGGGAATTTGGAAATGCCCACAGTACGGTTTTTCAGAAACTGGAGTAAATGTCATCTTTCTTTCTTCCTCCCTCCCTCCCTCCCTCCCTCCCTC